ATATATATATATATATATATATTTAGTCCATCATAAATTTTTTTTGATTTCTTAGCTCATACCAGTAATCATTATAGAGCCTACACAATTTGTTAATTAATTTAATGACTTAAAATATCAAAACATAATTGTAGTTATTATTACAAGTATTTTTTTTACTGCTATTACTTTATCCTATGTTTCCTACGTAAATTTATGATTGTTTTATGCTTATTATTAAAATAGTAATTGTGTACTTATTTATTTTTTTACATATATTTATTATTTACCTTTTTTTTAAAAAAATATGTTTTGTGTTTATCTTAGGTGAAAAATCTACAATACCAGCTGAACTTCTTCCATCAAATCCTTAAAAGAAATTTTAAATTACATCATGTTTTTTTTTTAAATTTCATTAAAAATATAAGTTACAGTTTTATATTCTTTTTAGTCTAAATTATATATCACTTTGTAAACATCATAAATATGTATTATGTTTATTTATCAGTACATTATGATTATATTACATTCAACAATAGTAAAACATTTATTCAGATATTGATTTTTTTTTTTTGTAAATTATTATAAACTTTTATAACTTAGTTAAAAATCTATTAATATAATTTATAAAAATATCTTTATAGTTAAATACGCAATTTAAAAATTTCCCAGTAAGTAAATGTTTCCAGTGTCAATAAAACCGTTATAACTTTTGATGACTATTTTTTTTTTTTAATTGTAGTTGTTAAAAAATTGCCATACATTCATACCTTAATTTGTTTTGTTTGTCTAACATAAAACACACTGGAATGTATGTTCAGTAAAACAACTTATATCAGATTACAGTAGAGTCCCACTAATCCGGACTAGATGAGATCAGACTCTCTCCGGATTAAACGAAATGACGTTTTTTTTTTTTTAACTTGTTAATTAATACACACTAAATAATAACAATAAATATATTGTCAAAAAACATCTCATGTATTTAACATTTAATACGAATTCAAAATTTATTGATTTACAATTTTACATTAGGTACACATTATTATTTTTATTACATATTAAGACTTATACACAATCACTACTAAACAAAATAATATCACAATACATACAAATGTACCTAATCAAAACGATAATGTCTTAATTATGGATATTCCCGAATATTAGCAAAAAATATCACAATATGTAATCGAAACGATAATATTTTTAATACCATAATATCCTGAATATATACAGGGTGATTCTCTTATCAAACAACACTCATTATAAAAGTATTGACTTTTCAAATTTTTTTTGTTTTTCAAAATAGTAGATTTACACTTCTTGAATTGTTTATTTTTTTAATATTTTTCAACCTTATATTTCTTAGATAAACCACTATCAACTTTTGATTTTTAAATGGTAWCCTATACTTAAAATTTTGTAAATTAATAAAGCTATTTTTTTTATTAATTATTGCATTAAAATTTCGAATTTAGTGCTAGTAGTTTATGAGATATAGGTATTTAAAGTTTAGATTGGCAGAGTGGAGTGGTACGGGGTTACCCCGCAAAATGTTTTTCCACTGCTCTGCTTATCTAAACTTAAAATACTTATAACTCATAAACTACTCGTCCTAAATTCGATTTTTAAGTATCAAATATTTAAAAATATAATTTTTTAATAAAAGCGTTGGTTTWTTAACAACTTGAAACTATGTAAAAAAATATTTTGAAAAAAAGTCAATACTTTTTTAAATAATGAATGTTTGATAAAAGAATCACTCTGTATATTAACTGTATAATATTATACATGTGTACTAATACGAAACATAAATTGTCCGGATTAGCAGGACTCTATTGTATTTAGATTAGACTATATGAGTGCATTGACGTACTATCAAACTTTATGTTTTGCTCATTGGTTTTTTATGATATTTAAAATGTGAGTTATGCTAATTAAATTGTAATATTTTAGATATTCATAACTTGCTTTTGTATAACGGATTATGGTTTTGTGTCTTAGGAAGACAGTGTGCACTTGAGTACTATAATATTTTTAGATCCTGAGCAAAATAATTAATAATATTGATTTTACAACATAATGTGCGTCTATTATCTTTTAGCTTTTGAGCAAGGGAAATCTAGGAGAAAATAATAAAAAAAAATCAAGAATTTTTATACAAAATCTATTTCTATCAAAATTAATTCTGACCTAATAACAAATTATTGTAGATATTTTTAATTTTTACCGAATAACTACAGCCATTTTCAAAATATTTTTATTAAGTTATTAGACATGTTATTTAACATTTTCAATTTTTTTCCATTTATTTTCAAAGTAAAAAAGCTTTAAGATGTAATGAAAGGTTATTTATATATTATTATAATAGCAGGTCCAACATTTTAAGATATATGGCCATGAATTTTTTTGACTATTGTAAGTTCAAAATTGGATATCTACATTTTAAATGAAGAGTAACAATGTTAGTCACTTTATTGTACATAATTCAAAAGCATTATTCCTGGAAACTAAATACTTAAACATATTATAAATTTCACTATACACTATGGAATTTAAAAAATATTTAGTATAATTTTAAGCTATTAACTATTTCTATCATTATACTATTCATATTGTTTTAGAGTAGGACAGTATTATCTCAAGAGTTAATAACATCAATATAATTATATGCTAAAAATATACACTACTTTGATTACTAATATGTGCAATGTTTTTGAAAAAAATTAGAACTTTCATAAAAAAATCAGGCGCGTATACAGGGGGGGGGGTCAATGGGGCCCCCCACTGAAATTATTATCCCACGATTGTAATATTTCTATATACTTCTGAACAAATGACATAAATACAATTTTGATGTTAAGCATAATAATAATAGTCACATTAAAAATAACGAGTAAGGAAGAAGAAATTGTTTTATTGTAGCTGTACAATTTATATTACTATATTTTGTAACCCTCCCCCCCGCAACAAAGATACTGTATTCTCTGTATGTGCCTGAAATAAGTTTTTTATAGCAATATTTAAAATGATTGGTATCACTTTACTATACATTAGTTACAGCGTASAGTGATCCAATTAAATGGATATATTAAATTTATATTCAATTGTATAAAACCATTGTAACTGTACCAAAAATGACTGAGTGAAATTTTTCGAATTTTAACATAATTGAATAGATATTATTCACTCGTTCRACTATAGAAAATAAAACACACTAATKTCGGAGAATGAATTATTGATCATAGTCGACTAAAAAGTCACATGTAACAGGTTCATAAATTATTTCAAATCAGTGAAGCTTAAACTTTTACGGGTCGTAACTGAAAATAGTTATTTCAGTATTCTTTATTTCTGACCATGGTTCTAAATACTCAATAATTATTTTAATACCTATTCTATTCAGTGCGAAACTAATGTGRTAGTGGTACCTATTTGAGAAGCGGTTGCTTTTATATGAAAGTGAAAAACAATTACTAAATATGAAATAATAATATTAAATACTAAATTGTTATAGTACATATTGTGTTTGACATAAATTGTTGATAGATGATGGGTGGGTGGTCGGGTGGTGTGCCAATTTTAGGGTTCGTTTCGATACTGACTTCGCTTTCATGGTGCCATACCCGTGTAATATTACATAATTATTTGAGTTAAAGTAAGTTCATAGGACATCAACATCATTATTAAGGTTACTTTTTTTTTCATTTTATAATACAAATTATATTATATTATTCATATAAAATATGGTAGGTATATAATATGTACAGTGAATTTTGGTAACAGCGGACCAGTTTTTATTGACTACTACAGGACGCGTCAATTTTTCCAATGACGTATTTAATCTTTTCGATGGCCATATCCACGTCTTTGTCAGTGATGTTCTTGTGCGTCACAATCCTCACTCTTGCATCGTTTATCTGCGCTATCCTCACAGCAGTCGATCGTATTTTATTATTCGACATACTGTCACATCCGTCAGCGTCCACCTGTTTAAGGGATGTTAGGTAATTATGAATAAATCAATTGTCAATCTTTAATTAGTGTTTTAGAAATATTTTGTTCAGTGAATACGATCTTTATTGGCAAGCCTATTGTTATTTGTTATCGCTTATCAAGAATGTATAAACGTTGAAAAATATAAATTAATGAACTACACGTCTACACTGATATGATACAATGTAACAATACCAAATAGCCAAATCTACTATATCGACTACGTAATAGGTTGACTACGTCAGTATTGTCTATATAGTTGTCAAGGTCTTTATAACTAAGTAGTAAGTTAAAACTATAATTGACTATAGTAGGTAGTATAGCCAGTATAGGTATTACATCAACATGTTGCCTGTACCGATGCCATTAATTAAGACTTAATCGTATACATTGAACTACATAACTATATATAGTTCAATGATCTTATGTGGTACACATTGTAGTAATATAATACCTACGTATGTTATTGTTATATTCTAGGGATGACGACACTTTTTTGATAAAGATTTACTATGAGTTCTACACTACTACCTATTGTTTTGTATTTGAGGTGTCATATTAGCATATATAATATTACAACTATTATCAACAGTGTTCATCCAAATCTTAAGGGGAGCCTGGTGAAGCTACTAAATTGTGTGATGTTAATTACTGATTAGTAAATTCTAACAAAGGTAGATCGACTTTTCATTGGTCTGTTTCATCCACTATTTGGCTTTTGGCGTATTTTAAAATACAACGATGTGTAAGAATGTTTTTAATTGTTATAGTTAATTATTCTATAGCTGAACGTTTCTGATTGCATTAATAGACATTAATAAATAGAKATAATATTGTATTCAGAATAAAAAAAAAAGGAGGTTACATTTTGATCAATTTAATTATTTATTTTAATATTTTATTACCTTACTTTTTGCCTAAATACATAATCACTATCAATTTTTTTTTTTTAATAACTCTTGAATTGTTCAAATATTTGGTCTTTAAATTATCATGGACTTATTGTTCTTTTTTGTAACAGATTTAATAAAATATTGTAAAAACAAAAAAAAAAATTATCATAACTATTAAGTCGAAAGTCTAAGTTCAACAGCTATTTTTAAGTTCGATTTTCAAACGGTCAAAGATGTTTGACATTTGCGTTAGATTTTTGGTGTACATTTTTTATTTTTTATTTTTTAATACTGAAAATAAAAAACTTAAAAATTCATAAAAAAAATTCAAAAACATTCAATATAGCCAATTTCTAAATTTTATTTTGAGAAAAATTTATACGGTAAAAAAAATTATTTAAATCAAATGGACGATTTTTTACGATTTTTTTAAATATCAATATTCTTGTTAAGTAAATTACGATCTAGTTATTATGTTAGAATCTTAGAATCATTATAATTTTAAAAAATATAAATTTACCTAGGTGCATATGATATTTAAAAATATTCATGTAAAATATTTAAAAATAATTTATATTTTTTGAAATTATAATGTTTCTAACATAAACTAGATCATAATTTATTTGACGAGAATATTGATATTTAAAAAAATTGTAAAAAATCAGCCATTTAACTTAAACAAGTGTTTTACCATATACATTTTTCTGAAAATCAGTCTTACAAATTGGCTATATTGAATACTTCAAAAAAATTTTCATCAATTTTTAAGTTTTTTATTTTTAGTATTAAAAAATAAAAAACGTATTCTAAAAATGTAGCCCAAGTGTCTATGAATTATATTTAAAAGAATTTTTTTTTAAATATTGATTAGAACAAAAGTTATTTCATTTGTCAGATCTCCGTGGGACACTGTACCTATACCTACATACATACTTGCATGCAGTGAAAGACAGGCAGTAGCACTTTTAAAAACAAACTGGTTTTACTTACTTTTATAAGCTCGGAAACGAAGTATTTGGCGTCGACTCCAGATGAGTTTATGTTCACCAAAAGTATGTTAGTTTGGAGCGCGTCTAGATTGACGGTCACATTGGGACTTGCTATCCTTTGAATAGCTACATGTAATAAAAATATTAACTAAATAACAATAATTAATCATAAACAATTTACAATGCCGTAAATACATGCTTGGTATCAATTAACTTTAATGAAATGTAGTTAAATTATCTATTTCCATGCAGAAAATTATTGTGTGATTTGTGATTATTTATCCCGAACCTATTATCTAAGGATCCGGGGTGAATCCTTATTAGTTATTTTAACGATTTACACATTACGCAATTACGCGTAATTAATATTTCAGTAGACTTTAGCGGTATGATATAGCAATATATGGGGAAAATTACGAAGAGCAAAATCTCTTTCAAATTTTGTTGCAACGACGAAAAGAACTCGATAGATTTAGAAATGTTTTTATTTTTTCAACTCGAAATCCCTAACAATAAGATTATTTTCGTCGTCCTTCTCAAACTCTGGTGATATTACTCGTGAAATTCAGAATTTAGTATACACATATTTAAGTAGAATCTAGTAAAATTGTTGGTAAAGGAAGTTCTTAACAATTTAAAATACATAATAAATACGATACCAATATTTTCTAATGAAAATCTTCAGACCCATCCAGACCAAAAATAATATTTGTCGTCAACCATTTCTGATTTGTCATTTATAAGCAGTAATATAAATATTTGTCGACGACAATATCAGAAACTTATGTTCCTTGATCTGGACCTGACTTTAAGCTTAAAATGTGACATAAGGATCCTTAAAATTACTCATAAGTTGTCTTTATTGAAAAAAAAAAATTAAGTATCGAGCTGTAGCTACAAAGCACCTACTTAAGTTTTTTATTAGGTCTGAAAATTGAGTTTAGACAAAATTAGATTTTAAAACGAAAAATAATAATTTTTATTAAACGAAAATTAGTAAAGTAGTTGTAATCTAACAAATTAAAAATATTGCTATTATTTTTTTTAATTTGGCCTGAAAGAATATTTTAAACGGCTTTAAACTCCCTCAATCTCCATGATATCCATTAATGAGCATATTATCAGTATTTAATTAATAAGTAATAGCATGTTATATTTTAGTCAAAGCTATCATCTTTTGTACCGTAGGCTATTTTCTTTGCGTTTTTGTGATCGTCGGCCAGCCTTTCCACACAATTGTCCAACGCGTATAGTCCAGCTGCAGCCACGATCCCGGCTTGACGCATGGCACCACCTAAAACTTTTCTGATTCTCCTGGCCCTGTGAATCGAAATATTAAAATATTAGTTGTTGTTATTAAAATGTCACCTTTAATATATGGTGTCAGTTCAGCTTGAGCAACCGTACTCTTGAGCAACAAGTACGTYATCGACTGGTAAAAATCCTGGCTACGCCACTGCTCACTTCTACCTGACAAGTTTCCGCTCATATCAGACTAACCATCCAGATGAAACTGCACATGCAGGTGCTGCTATACATGTTAGATCATTACTCGCATCACACCAACTCATTAATTTCCAAACAGACTACATTCACTCTTGCGCCGGTATAGGCGGTAATTAATAGTATTCCTATCTCAATAGCAGCTATATACTGTCCTCCCTTCTCATTTTTTTTTCTTTAATAACATTTTTAACTTTTTTTTTTAACTATACAAGTGTCTTCACTGGAAGCTATCCGTCCTTCACACCATAATTATCAAATTCATCAATTTCACTTATTATTCAAAATTTATGTAACAGATTGTGGAAATAAAAATTAAATAATAAAAAAAATATATGGTATGACTGCATATGTTTTTTTTTTTGTATAATATGTATAACGCACTGACACCCATGTTTCTATTTTTGTATTTTGTATACTTACATTTTGATGTAGGCACTTATGTCTATTGTAACAATAATACTTAACTTATTTAAAAATCTAAATTTTTATAATCAATTTTTCGCCTATTTACAATTTATTATTTTGTAAAAATTAAGTAAACTATAATATGTATTTTAAAACGCTAATAATCCCGGTAGTTGAGGCATATTTGTTAAATAAAAAAAAATTTTATTTAAATTTTTAACTGTAGTGAATCTTCAAATGTTTTTTTTTTTAATAAGGTGGAAAACTTATTTTCATTTTTTCTTCGTGTTTATACAATATTAKATACTTTATTTACTAGACGTATTGTACATAATTATTAATTATCAATTACTTTTCTATGAACAATTTTTCGCCGACTAAAACAGAGCCGATTGGCGCTCCGAGGCCTTTACTCAAACAAAATGTCACGGAATCGCAGTGCTTCACTATACGGCTGACTGGAACTCCGAGACTCACAGCTGCATTAAACACTCTAGCTCCGTCCATATGCAAAGGAATATTTCTYTCTTTGGTGAGTTTTCCCAACTAAAATGTTCATTAATACACACGTATATTATATTTTGCATTATTGTAATTAAAACTTCYGTGATTTAATMAAAAATATTTTCTATCCTTATWTTGATGTAATTGCTACAGGGTTATTAGTGTCAGCAATCTGGGTAAAATTGTCCTTCGAAATCACTTATCAATGAGCAAGGWAGCAGTTTAAACACTTTTAAGTAGGTATTTAAATAGATAGGTATATATTTATTATTTATTGCTCCAAACGGCTGAGTATTAGTATTTAGTAGGTATGTGTTTTATATTAAAATATCAGCTAAAAAGTAAACTCAGAATAAAAAAAGAATAAAATATGAAAACTTGGCAAGTATTAGGTAAAATATCTATACCATACATTTGAATATACATTTCGATTTTATGCAATATACATTTCATATATTATAGTTGTTGCAGAAGTCACAATCAACTAAAACGTAATTTAAATAATTTAAAAATTAAAATTAATTAATCGAGTAAATATTGGTTATAAATAGGTAATGACATGATGAATTATTTTGATATATTTTAATTTTAAGTGGTTTTACTGGTTTTGAAACATGTTATATAAATATTATTRACTCGTATTAACCTTAAATTTAAAGTCACAATTGAATATGTTATCAAATAGTATATAGAACTACGTTGTAGTAATTTGAGTAACCGTACACTACAAAGTTATAAAAAATTAGTTTTTCGTAAATTTATCATTTATAACATAGGTGTAGAAATATAGTTTTTAAATGTGTTCGAATAGCAAGTTCAATCTTAAACTATGCTGGAAACTAATACTAATGGTTATTGTGTAAAGGCCCAAACAACTTGAAAATCATAGTTTTAGTTTCTAGTTAATAAGGCAGTAGATATCAAGGTATGTATTAGGCATTAATAGAAATCGCATTATTTTTGTTACCTGGTCAATCCATTCAATAGGCAATATAGTACCACCACAATAATTGTGAGTGTTTTCTATGCACACTAGTGTAGTATATGGTTCGTGAGGATCTGGGAACTCCGGTCGTATTTTTCCAAGTAACTCTGTCATATCCAACGTGCCATCGTCCAAGTTCCTAACTTCTCGCATTTGCAATCCTGCAACCTGTGAAAATTATCCACTTCAATATTTTAGATTCTGAGTGGAGCTATGAATTTACATACCGATTTTACAATGATTTAACTATTATTTATTTTTTTATGTGTTTGTACACGATTTTTAATAGGAAAAAAATTAATTTTCAACTTCAATATATTTTATGGTAGGAAAGTTTATTATATTTGAAATTTAACATATAAAATTCTTAGTATTTTTCTTAATAATTGAGAAATTTAAAAAAAAAAGAATAGAGGAAAATGGAAATTTTCAATTGTCTTAATTTTTCGAAACTTATTGACAATTAATAACCCTAGAATCTAGGGCCTAGGTTATATAAAATTTTCACCAATAATTTTATTAGCATTTTCTATACTTCTATCGTATAATTTTGAAAAAAGTTGACTCTTTTTGAACTATTTATAGACGTATGCTATTTTCGATGATTTTTTTCTTAACTATTCTCAATACCTCATATGTACGTTAAAAATGCTATAAAAGATACATTGATTTTCAACTCTGGGGGTGGTTTCTGTTAGAAAATCGAATCTAGTTGTCATTTTTGGGAAGTTAAATTGGAAAATTCCTAGTATTGTTCAAAAGAATTAGAAAAAACAAACAATACATTAAGGAAAAGCGGGAATTTTTACACAAAACTAATTTTT